CACCCAAGTTATTGATGCAGTATTTAATAATTAATGGTTCTTTGATTTCTTACACATCGAAATGTAGGAAAAATGATTGGTATTAAGGTCAAAGACAAAAAAGAACTATTCCCCAGTTTTTTTGGGGCCACAATTGGATACCAAGTTTCTAAAGGCTGTAAAAAGAAGGGCTCCTGAATAAAAATCTGAAACCTAGGAAAGTCTGTTTTGAAAGAAGTTTATTGTTCCCCTCTTTTAAAACTGCCCAAAACGTGGCAGAGAGGGCAAGACCACTGCTTCATATGAAGTGAGATTTAACACACGCACATGTATCTCGCAGTTTACAAAAAGATATTTTAAAGTGGAGAGGATACAAATCTTAACACACACACATGTAATCTCTCAGTACAAAAGAGTATAAAGTTGGAGAGGATACAAAATGTTTAGAAGCAGTCTACCTCTTAAACAGATGAACAAAACCAGTTTAGCATACTGTGGCCTTGGTTCAGTTAGGAAGAAAGTCAGGGGCTACTTGGGAAGCACTACCAAGAGAAGCCCAAACAGGTGCTAAAGCTTCAAGCCTTCAAGCTTCAGATGCAGAGCACTGACTTTCCTATTTCCCACTGTACGGTCAGCCAGCCCCCACTTGGACTTGACCTCAAAGAAAGCTGAGTTTTTCTTTGCAACTCTTTCTGCCATCCTTTGCATTCCCACTTGGCCCTTGAGAAGAAAGAAGTCAGTGTGTACATTCACACATGTGTGCATTGGGCATGTGCACAACTATGTGAGTGCACGTGCGTATAAGTCTGAGGTACTGAGGCAGGGGCCAGTTTCCCTTAGAAGACTCCAACAGCCTTCTAACCTTAGGACCCATGCTCATAGAGCCAGGAATAGAACACAGGGCAAGGAGAGAGGAGCATCTGAGTTCAGAGAGGAGCTTCGCTCAGCTACATGACACCAGTTTACTCTCAAGTTGGACTCAGTCATAGCCATGTGGTCTTTTCCACCATGGCTGACCTCACTGGAGGTGCTGTTGAATTCACTTACTAATCCACTAATGTACTTGACTTCCTTAATGCAGTCTTAGTCTAGGCACTTCTTGACCAATTCTGTCAAAATACTGCCTTTTCCATGAAATGACACAACTGTGATCAGGAGTGTGAGCTAGACAGCCTTGATGTTAAAGCTCTGTTTCTTTGGCTGAAATACTTATCTGCCAAAAACGGAGGGAGGGAAAGCACAAGTTGTGAGCAGCACATGGAAAGGTGAGTAATGGGCCAGAAACTGCGCAAGGTTGCTTGCCTGGGCAAAGAGCATGAGCTGGAGTAAAGGTAACAGTAAAAGCAGTATGGTCCAGAGGATGAGGAGTGTGGGTTAGGAAGCAAGGGATTAGTGTAGGACTCCAAACTAGAAATTAGATCCAATTTCAGAAAAGAATAACAATCTTAATAAAAAACATATAAAAACACCAACATTAAACGGAGATTGGTTCAGGTGAAGCAAGGCAAAGATAACAGCATATGGAAGTGTAATTCTAGTCTGATCAGACATGAGTAAGGAAATTGTTCAGCAAGCCTTTAGATTTATATGACTAAAAGTCAACTGAGGCTCATAAAAGCAAAAGTTTCACAAACCTTTTATAAAACTGAGAGGTCTAAGAGTACAACTGATAATGTCTTTAAATAACAACCAAACTATGGATACTCATTCATGAAATGTTCCAACTGGAAGGATAGCCAAATAAAACCAAAGCACTAAAGCTGGTCTTCCTTTACAAACTAGAAAATTTATAGAATGTCCACCTCTTAAGGTAGAGCCAAATGTGGTAAAGAAATGCTACATATTTCTTTTAGGAAAACACAAACCCAGGCATGCGACAGTCCTACTATGGCATGTGGAAAAACATTATTCAAGTGGGATACTAACTTGATGTGATGTTGAAAGCCACAAAAATCCAAGATGGGTTGGAAGGAAACATGTGCATGGTCTTCTCCTTTAGGCTTGGATAATGAGGTGAGGAGACCATTAAGGACTTGCCAAAAAGCACTAAACTTTTACTCCATAAACAACAATGTGAAATGAGTCCCTAGAAGTGGCCTGAGAGAAGAAAGCTATTACCAGTCAAGCTGTAGAGAGCTAAGAGATTATAAAGCCCACACATTCAAGTACAAGTCTATCAGCAAGTAAGAACACAGAAAAGGGCTTCTAGAGTTTAGTAGGAGAATTCCAACTTGTACTGACTGCTTCTCCATAGTCTTTATAATGGCACAGAATAGGACTATGGCCAAAAAAGAATTTTTCATTATTCATGTAACTGGTTAAGTAAAAGGGCTGATTGTAGTATTTAATTATGAACAAAGAAGCTTAACAATCCAAGGAAACAGAAGAGGAGTGAAGAAGAGTTACTTACCTGTGCTATATTTTTGTTCAGAAGATAGACGCCATAATCAAATTGCAACTTCTCCCCTCCTTTTGGATATAAAGGAAACCTAAGAAAGGTAAAGAAAGATGAGAAGTTTTCCCAAAAACTGACTAAATACAACCTTCAAGTTGTTGACAGAGGCTGGTTTCAACATCTCCAGATTGGACTAAATTACTTAGTTATAGTCTCTGTAATCCAGTACATAAGAGTCAAGTGAGAACAATGGCAGCTTTCTTGCAAAGGAAAAATTAAGTAGGTCACACACCAAGGGACTAATAAATAAGTAAGTGACCCACCAACTCCAAGGAGTTGAAGCCATTTGCTTTCTATTTACATGTCAGAAGCCTGCCACATTAAGAGTCCCACAAATCTTCTAGTACCTTTGACCTGACATCTCAACTTCTAAATGGGAGAGGAAGATTAAAGAAAATTCAGATTTATTTATTTATTTATTTTTCTTTTATTATTCATATGTGCATACAAGGCTTGGTTCATTTCTCCCCCCTGCCCCCACCCCCTCCCTTACCACCCACTCCGCCCCTTCCCTCTCCCCCACACCCCCTCAATACCCAGCAGAAACTATTTTGCCCTTATTTCTAATTTTGTTGTAGAGAGAGTATAAGCAATAATAGGAAGGAACAAGGGTTTTTGCTGGTTGAGATAAAGATAGCTATACAGGGCATTGACTCACATTGATTTCCTGTGGTGGGTGTTACCTTCTAGGTTAATTCTTTTTGATCTAACCTTTTCTCTAGTTCCTGGTCCCCTTTTCCTATTGGCCTCAGTTGTTTTAAGGTATCTGCTTTAGTTTCTCTGCGTTTAAGGGCAACAAATGCTAGCTAGTTTTTTAGGTGTCTTACCTATCCTCACCTTCCTTGTGTGCTCTCGCTTTTATCATGTGCTCAAAGTCCAATCCCCTTGTTGTGTTTGCCCTTGATCTAATGTCCACATATGAGGAGAACATACGATTTTTGGTTTTGGGCCAGGCTAACCTCACTCAGAATGATGTTCTCCAATTCCATCCATTTACCAGCGAATGATAACATTTCGTTCTTCTTCATGGCTGCATAAAATTCCATTGTGTATAGATACCACATTTTTCTTAATCCATTCGTCAGTGCTGGGGCATCTTGGCTGTTTCCATAACTTGGCTATTGTGAATAGTGCCGCAATAACATGGGGTGTGCAGGTGCCTCTGGAGTAACCTGTGTCACAGTCTTTTTGGGTATATCCCCAAGAGTGGTATTGCTGGATCAAATGGTAGATCGATGTCTTAGCTTTTTAAGTAGCCTCCAAATTTTTTTCCAGAGTGGTTGTACTAGTCTACATTCCCACCAACAGTGTAAGAGGTTCCTTTTTTCCCCGCATCCTCGCCACACACCTGTTGTTGGTGGTGTTGCTGATGAATGGCTATTCTAACAGGGTGAGGTGGAATCTTAGCGGGGTTTTTAATTTGCATTTCCTTTTTGCTAGAGATGGTGAGCATTTTTTTCATGTGTTTTCTGCCATTTGAATTTCTTCTTTTGAGAAAGTTCTGTTGCCCATTTCTTTATTGGTTCATTAGTTTTGGGAGAATTTACTTTTTAAGTCCCCATTATATATTCTGGATCAGTCCTTTGTCTGATGTATAGCTGGCAAATATTTTCTCCCACTCTGTGGGTGTTCTCTTCAGTTTAGAGACCATTTCTTTTGATGAACAGAAGCTTTTTAGTTTTATGAGGTCCCATTTATCTATGCTATCTCTTAGTTGCTGTGCTGCTGGGGTTTCATTGAGAAAGTTCTTACCTATACCTACTAACTCCAGAGTATTTCCTACTCTTTCCTGTTCAACTTAGAGTTTGTGGTCTGATATTAAGATCCTTGATCCATTTTGAGTTAATCTTGGTATAGGGTGATATACATGGATCTAGTTTCAGTTTTTGCAGACTGCTAACCAGTTTTCCCAGCAGTTTTTGTTGAAGAGGCTGCTATTTCTCCATCGTATATTTTTAGCTCCTTTGTCAAAGACAAGTTGGTTGTAGTTGTGTGGTTTCATATCTGGCTTCTATTCTGTTCCACTGGTCTTCATGTCTGTTTTTGTTGCCAGACCATGCTGTTTTTATTGTTATTGCTTTGTAATATAGTTTGAAGTCAGGTATTGTGATATCCTGCATTGTTCTTTTGACTGAGTATTGCCTTGGCTATTCGTGGCTTCCTGTGTTTCCATATAAATTTCACGGTAGATTTTTCAATCTCGTTAAGAATTGTCATTGAATTTTGATGGGATTGCAATTAAACATTGTAGATTACTTTTGGGAGTATAGACATTTTTACTATGTTGATTGTACCAATCCATGACATGGAGATCTCTCCACTTTCTATAAGTCTTCCTCAATCTCTTTCTTCAGAAGTGTATAGTTTTCCTTGTAGAGGTCTTTCACATCTTTTGTTAGGTTTACACCTAGGTATTTGATTTTTTTTGAGGCTATTGTAAATGGAAACTGTTTTTCATACATTCTTTTTCCGTTTGCTCATTGTTAGTGTATAGAAATGCTAATGATTTTTCTATGTTGATTTTATATCCTGCTACCTTGCTGTAGCTATTGATGATGTCTAGAAGCTTCTGAGTAGAGTGTTTTGGGTCTTTAAGGTATAGGATCATGTCGTCTGCAAATAGGGACATTTTGACAGTTTCTTTACCTACTTGTATTCCTTTTATTCCTTGTTCTTGCCTAAATTCTCTGGCTAGGAATTCCAGTACTATGTTGAATAGGAGTGGAGATATATAAAGAGGGATAAAAGAGAGAGATGGAGTAAATATGATCAAAGTACATTATATTTCACCTATATGAAAATATAATGAAACCCATAATTTTGTATATCAATTATACACTAATAAAAACAATAAAAAGAGCAATATATAAGTCTTTGTTTCTCTTCAGGTAGCCAGTAAATTAGTGCCAATGTGAGTCATTAAAAAATTCATCAAATTTATAGGGATGGCTATTTGGATGCAACTTCTCCACAGCAATGTACTCATGGCATGAAGCTCTCATAAATGATTTTATAATTTGACCCAAGGTAACAAAGGGATGAGATATGGATTGACCTAAAGGTGAGGGGTTATTATTTTAGGGAATACATTTCCCTCACTATTTCCCTTTCCTTGCGCCTGCAAAAAAGAAGAAAAGGTCAGTGCATACCAAGATTCTAATAACTTATTTCTGATTCTCAACATCAAGCAGAAGTGTAATAATCTAAAACAGATTTCTCTACAAAAAGATCAACTACAACCAAGGATCACAAAGAAAATGTCATCTCCCTTAGTTGTGCAATATACAATTATTTCAAGAATAAAATAATCTTATTGAAATGAATGATAGGTGACAATTACTAGACAGTCTTACTTTCAGTTATCTTAATTGCCCAAGAAAAGAGGCATTTCATAAAGCCCAGAGAATAACATTTTCAGGGAAAATAAAAGGAAACAGAATTTAAAAGCTTTATATTAAATTCTCAAAAGTTGTTAGCTTCATAGTAGCCAAAAAATAATGTTGTTGTGTTGTAAAATTATAGGCACTGGAGAGTAAGCAAGGTCAGGAACTAAAAATTTATTGAAGGAAACCAAATGTGTCAGATACCCATCTAGAAGATATAGTGTTGTAGTTAATTGAAACAATAAAAAAATAAACTAGGACATGTGGTTTGGCCCTAAGCTGAGATGTGTAAAAATGACAGCAAAGCAAATTCAGGATAAGCAGAATGCAACACTGGGTTTTTGCAAGGTGTCTGGAAATAATTCAGATACATATAGGGCAGTGGGCAGAGGAACTTCATATCTGCAAAGACATAACAAGAGGACACTTCTAAGCGATTTACTGGAGCCCTAAAACTGTGTACCGTATAGTTGTTATTCTATAAACTGTCACATGTAGACTATCCAAACAGCTCTCCAAACCCAAAGCTATCTCCATTTTCAAGTTATAAATCTAGAAACGGTTTCATATTTAGTAAGCGAAAATTGAGATCAGCACACAATGAAAACCAAACTTCTCCATTTGTGAAAAACGGATCTCACAACATTTGACTTTATTATGACTTCACTGGGACTTCCTTAAGGAAAGAGCTGCAAGATATATGTGTAACACTGAAACAAATCCAGAGAGTGATTAGAGCTAAAGGCTCAAATATGCCAATGCTAAGAACAGAACAGATACTAGGATGGAGTTTGTATTTTATGCTGCTTTCAAATTCTTAATGGCTCACTCTGAGTTGAACAGTTTAATTATTTATAACTATTACACATTTATCTGAAACACTACATGGATTTATAGATTTCTTAAGCAATCTAGAAAAATGGAATCCATTTTAAAGGATAAAACTTACTACCATCAGGATATAATACACAAATCAAAGATATTTTATTTCAATTATAGATGAAGAATCACATTAGCAAACTGTAGAAGGTTCAGATAAGAATGTGGTCATTTAAATATAACCAGAAAAATATCTTTAATACCACAAAGAGAACTCATTGAAACAAAGTCTTACATTAAATAACTGTAGGCTGAACTATGTATTTCCTATCAATACACTCAATTCATTAACATTACACTCAATTAAATGGCCCATATTAAATTATTTTAAAAATTAAAAATCCAAATGTAAAACAAGGTGAAAATCATAGAAGTAGGAAGCAGTGAACAGATTACATGTGGGAAAGAATTCCATCTGAGGCTTACTATCACTGCTCTGACACTGGGTGGTAAGGAGGTGAGTAGGGAACTGTAGACCTCTAGCCTTAATCCACTGCTGTCTACTACAAATGTCTTTATCACTGTGAACTATCTGAGGTTAGTCTGTCTCAGTTTCTAATTTTGTACTCACTGTGTAATTATGTGAGACACTCTAAGGAACATATATCTTAGTAAACTGTTGGCTTCAATAAGAAGCAGGCTTCAGTTTGTTCCTTCTGTGCCTTGCTGGACACATCTAGCACTGTTACTAACAGACACTCAATAAATATTTCTGAATTAAAAAATTGATTATGTGTGAAAAAGATTTAGAGCTCTTTAGTATCTCACCATG